GCAAGGCAAGCGCTCTACCGAGCCACCTTCCCAGACCCGTCCCAAGGACATAATTCTTAGTCAAGTTGAAATGGACGCCTAACGAGGGCCACACAGGATGGGATTGATTCTGAAGCAGCTGTCTTTATGGGGGTCTAGCATGATTGAGTAATTTTCTATGGTTAACCTAATATTGATAATTAACAGTGTAAAATAACGAAGTATGAGACACGTGTGGTGGTTCATGCCTGTAATTCCCGCTACTCAGGAAGCTGAAGCAGGAGGATCTTGAGTTCAAGCCAGAACAACATAGGTCTTGTCCCAAAATACATTAAAAAAAATATTAGCCATGTGGTACTTGTGTAGCACGCAGGAGATCCTGGGTTTTATCCTTAGTACTGAATTTAAAAATAATAAAACTATAGACACACAAATAAACAGTGAGCTATGTCTTTAGCATGGCTAATTTTGAGACAGGGTCTCACGTTGTAGCCCAGGCTGCTCTCAAACTCACGATCCTTCTATCTCAGCCTCCTAAATGCTGGGATTACAGGTGTGTACAGCCATTCCCAGCTAGTCTCTCATCCTCATATCTTCATATTTCCTTCCTTGAGTCTGAACATTCCCAAGTCCCAGTCTCCTGAGTAGCTGGATTCAAGGAATGAGGAACCATCCCCAGACTTCCTCAATTTCTCTACTATTGGGTCTGGCCCAATAGCAACTGAAATCACTCAGTAGAACCTTTCAGTATCTGAATCTTAATAGAAAATATGCCATATATTCAGAAGCAGCACTGGACCATGCTTACCCTTTACATCTAGTATAGAACACTGCTTTCTTTTCACCCAAGGTAATTCCTTTAAGTAGTTTATGCAAAATAAACCATTTTAAATGCAGAGAGTGGCGTCTCTGAGAGAAAGAAGTGGTCAGTAATTTGGAATCCCCAAGGTTTGAAGTTTGAGAAGGGCCCGCAAGGTTCGTTCATATCCCAAAGTTTACACACCTGGGAAACTGAGTCCCCTCAATTTCAGCGTGGGATGGAATTAATAACTAACAATTTGTGATAATTAACAATTAACTAATTTGTTCAAAAAAATGAAGTATGAGACAGGTGTGGCGGTGCATGCCTGTAATCCCAGATACTGCCTCACCCTGTTAATGTTGAAAACCACAGTGTCATTTGTACACACGGGTATGTGTGTCCAGGGCTCAGCTCAGGAGCAGTGGTGGAGTAATCCAGAGAACTGCTGAACATTAAAATAAGCACTCCTCAGAAAATGGCCTCCTAGCAGGAAAATTTAAACATAACAACAACAACAACCCTGAAAGCGCATCGTATACAAAGCAAACCCTGTAAATATAATTACACTTCAAGGCAGGACTCTGGCAGCAGGAAGGCTCACAAGGAGAGGCAGACCTTTTCCAGAGAGCACCAGCTCCTCTGCAGGGAACTTCTAGCACCTGGGTCAACTTGCGCACAGCACGCACAGCACGCACAGCACACACAGCACGGTGTGTTTTTTCCTATGCTTGCACTCAGTGTCTGACACTCAATTTGTAAATGAAGCCCAGGAAGAGATGAATAAGAAGCACAAAGAACAATCCTAACAAGCCCTGTGAATGGGCTTTGCTGTCTCCCACTATCAAACCAGCCCATCTCACCACTAGACATGAACTGTTTCCTGCAGTAACCAAAAGCAAACCCGAGCTGGGGGTGTGACTCAGTGGTACAGCACCCACTCAGCCAGTGCAAGGCCCTAAGTTCAAATCCCAACATAGCAAGGAGAAAGGGAAAGGAAAGAAAAGAGAGAGAAAGCATCCTCAAAGAGGGAAGACATCTATCAATGGTCAACAAACACATAAAAGGATTAGTCACCAGGGAAATGCAAATCAAAACCACAAGACCCTACCTCAGGCCCAGGAGGATGAGAATAATTAACACAATAAAAGGAAAATAACCAGTGTTGGTAAGGATGTGGAGGAATTAGGACCTTCAAATAGTGCCAATGCCAAGGAAAACAGTTCCTCATCAGGTTAAGCATAGAATTAACCACGACTCAGGAATGCTTCTCTTATGTATGGATCCCAAAAACCTAAAAACAGGTATTCCAACGAAAACACGTACACAACTGTCCACAGCAGTACTTTCACAAAAGCCAAAGGGGAAAAACAACCCAACAGCTATCAGCTGACCAACAAATAAAATGCAACTTACACCTTCAATGGAATATTATGCACCCCCCCCCCCGCAAAGGAATGGAATGGATATATGTTAAAACATGGCAGAATCTAGAAACTATTACATTGGATGAAAGAAACTAGAGACAGGAGGACAGTGTTTTATGATTCCATTTATATAAATGTCTAGAATAGGCCAATCCCAAGACAAAGAGTGAATTAACCCATGTTAGAGATTGGGAGAGTTGGCGAGTGAGGGCTAAATGGGCACGGGAGACGCAAGGGTTCTGAACCAGACAGGGGTGGTGGCTCTTGTGACCCTTAACAATGTGCTCAGTGTCTGCTTTGGACACTTTAAACGCTAAATTTCATGAGATTGCTTTGTACAGCAGGCTGGCCTTGTTTCTTATGTAACCCAAGCTGGCCTTGAACTCCCAGTCTTACATCAGCCTCCTAAGAGCTGGGATTCCAGGAGTCTACAACCACACACAGCTTCTTGTTAATTAGGTAGCCTCCTACAATTAAAAGAAATGGAGGAAGTCTCCTGCCCCCACCCCCAAGTGCAACAGGTGTGAACACAAATCATCTAAGGAAAGGGCTCAAGTTCTGGGGCCTGCTGGAATTCTGGCCCTCCCCCAGAGGCTCCGTGACTGTCCCAAGCTGCAGATAAGATGCACTTGAACTTTTGTTCAGGAGGATCCCTGGTGCTCTGCCCGGCTCCACCCTAGCCCTTTCCCCCCCTCCTCGGCCTCCAGGTTCCAAGATGCAATGATGCAATCGTCTGAGCTGAGCCAGGAAACAGCTCCCACAGCATCTGAGAACTTGGGGACCAGGGCCAGGTGTCTGCCAGCTTCTGACCAAGGAAGTTTGGTCATATGGTTGTGATCTAGAAATGTCAGCAGCCTGGCGCTGAAGGCACACGTCTGTCATCCTAGCTACTCAGGAGGTTGAGATCTGAGGATTGTGGTTCAAAACTAGCCCGGGTAGGAAAATCCAGAGAGACTCCAAACCAGCAAAATGCTGCAAGTGGAAGTGTGGCTCAAGAGGTAGAGTGTCAGCCTCGAGCAAAAAATTTAAGCAAGGTATGAGGCCTTGAGTTCAAGCCATAGTATGAGAGAGAGAGAGAGAGAGAGGAGAGAGAACACACAAGGTTTAGTACACTATAGGTAGTCAAACAGTGTACAAATATGGAGGAATGAATGAGTGAATGAATGAATGAACTCACAGACAGACAGGCAAATGCTCCCTGTAACAAGGTAGCTATGTAGTCAAACATACTCAAATCTTTTTTTCTTTTAATCACCTCATTCCTTTTCTAGAGCTTTCAATTATTCTAATTTTGAATTCCTGGCTTCTATGAATGGAGAAATACGTTATTTCTTAAATGACAAGCAACATCGAAGGGTTTTTAGTTTTAGTGGTTTTTTTTTTTTTTTTTTAGAGGCTCATTTGAAATGCTGGTCTCCAAGAAAAGGACATACTTCTTTAAAAACGGCTGTTACCGGTTTGGCCAAGAACTACACAAGATTCCTTACATACACTGTCAAGTTTGGTGAGGAGGGTTCAGGCAACTTCCAGCCTCCTCACCCAATCCCAAGTAAATAGGAGATTTGTTTGTATTTCCAAAGGGCTGCGAGAATGAAAATTCCTCCTTCCACCTAGAAAAAAAACAATCTGTACCGCTCAGACCCAGAACACGGAGGGCAAAGTGTTAGGGCATGAATATATGGTTGAAGAAGGAGAAGGAGAAGGAGGAAAAAGAGGAGGAGAAGGAGGAGGAGACGAGGAAGAAGAAGAGGAGGAAGAGAGAAAAGTTGTTTTTTTTTTTTTTTTTTTTTTAAAGAAAGGTTTCTCTTGTAGGAAACATTTCGACCTGGTTTGGCGTGTCTTCTCGGTGTTTCAGAAATTCAAGCTTTACAAAAACAAAGAAAAAAAATCAAAGAAACGATTTCTCCAGTGAAACGGTGGAGCCAGGAGGTGTTTTCTTCCTCTCTTCGGTCCAGCAAAGACCGGGGGACGGAGGAAAACCACAAACACCAGTTTCCTCCATGCAACGCGGCTTCTCCGCGTTGAACCCGGTCGGTCGAGGCAAAGAGTTTAAAAAGAGCTCGTTCCTGCGGTGCAGGGGTGCGGGGCGCGCAAAGGCTGGATGCTTGCATTTCGGCTGGCGTGAAACAATACTGGGAAAGTCCAGGGCCTCGGAGAGAGACTGGGATTTATCCTTTATTAGCCACATTTTCTTCCTTTTTAATCCCTCCCGCCCCGGGATCTCACACATCCCCGTGATCCAATTACCTGGGGGAGGGGGGGGTCGGGACCTCGGGCCCAGCAGGTGGCTGCGGACACCCCAGCGACGCGGCCCAGGCCCCGTGGGGGTCCCCGACACCCCAGCGACGCGGCCCAGGCCCGTCCCCGACACCCCCAGCGATGTGACCCCAGGCTCCGGGGGGATCCCCGACACCCCCCCCCCGCCGACCTGAGTCAGATCCTGTGGGGGTTCCTGTTCCCCTCGCCGGCTCCAGGGAGGGTGCGCGGAGTTGGGGGGCGGTTGATGGGCACCCCAAGTTGATGAGAAAGCATGCCGCCAACGCCGCGCCGCGGAGGGAGCCCCGCCACCACCCCCCCCGGCTCCCGGCCCCGCGCCCCCCAAGGGGGGTCACCCGGCGGCCTCGCGCTCGGCGACCTCGGCCGCCTCAGGGTGGCACAGGGGGGCCCCCAACTTCAGACGGAGAGCCGGCGCGGAGGAGAGGGGTCGCGAGGAGACCCGGACAGCGGCCGCCGCCCCCCGCGCCCCACCTCGCCGGGACGCCGCCCGGGGTCCGAAGGACCCAACTTGAACTCACCCGATACGGGGGGTCTCCTTCCCGGGAATGCAGGTGTCCACGCGGCCCGCGGCCCGAGCGTCCGCGCCGCCCGCCGTCAGCCAGCGACTCA